AATCGACCACAACATTCTTTTTGAATAGACTAGAAAATGATGTTGGCATTAGTGGAATTCCATGGTTCATATTGTGCTTAACGGACCGTCATCTATTCGTAGCAGTGAATGAAGAGGTATCATATCGATCACAAGTACAGTATGGAGTACCACAAGGCTCAGTACTAGGACCTTTGGACCCTACATGTTACGCCTGGGGGAATCATCAGGTAACATGGTGTTAGCTTTCACTGTTATGCCGATGATACTCAGCTATATATTTCTTTGCGGCGTGACGAAATATACCAATTCGCAAAACTAACGGAATGCATATTTTATACATAAAATTGGATGACTAGTAATTTCCTACTGCTAAATTCTGAAAAAAACAGAAGTGTTAATTATCAGACCAAAAGCTTCTGCATGTAATAACCTGAAACACTGTCTAACACTTGTGACAGCAGAGACCATGTCAACTAGATGAGCCCCAGAGACAGATCCCCTGCGAAGACCTAGTCAACTAGACGGCCATTGGCACAAGACCACGAGAACCAGACAAGTCCTGTGGCCAGCTTCGACTCCTTCACTGATGTAGTCAATTATCAAGTGGAAGGAACTGGATTGATGTTCTGCATGAGCAGCTGCCATTTAGATGAATGGCAAAGCTCACAGATATAGACTTACTCAGGCAAAAGAGTACCAATGATTTTTGACATAAAATCTGACTTCATGGATTCGAAAAATCATAGATGGATCACATACAGTGAAACACAACATGAGAAAATCAAAGTGAACCCATTATAATCAGTGATACTGTCTACAATGGATGCAACTCGACACTGACAGTAAACTGAAGTTCGATTTTATTTCTGTAATGCATGGACTTGTGATAATACTTCCGAGAGCAGTACGGATGGATTTAGAACTTCTTTGACATTTTCAGTGTAGACAAGCCTTTATCTATTGAGGCACAGTGCAACAATTGTCACACCTGGTGTAGATAAAATATTAGGCTTTAGGTTAGGGTTAGAGGTTAGCATTTACATGACCTATCAAACCTTTAGAAATGTATGTGGGCGGGGTTTATGCTTAAGTGGTTTAGGAACAACGGAAGCTAAATTGTATGGATTAAGCCTCATTTTATAATTCCTTTATTTTGTGTGTGTGAGTGTATTTTTAAATATATTTTGAAATGTAATTTATTCCTGTGATCAAAGCTGACTTTTCAGCGTCATTACTCCAGTCTTTTGCTGCTCAAGAAACATTTTTTGTTATTATCAATGTTGAAAACAGTTGTGCTGCTGTATATATTTATTTATTTATGGAAACTGTGATAAACTATTATTCAAACATTTGGGTTAAGTAAAATGAAAAAGAAAAATACTAATAATAATTATAATAATAATAATGATGATGTTATTTATATTTCAAATAAATGCTGTTCATTGAATTTTATATTCATCAACGAATGTGAAAAAAGTTTCAGTTTCCACAAAAATATTAGACAGAACAATAGTTTTTAACATTCATAATAATGATAATAATATAGTTCTTGAGCAGCAAATCAGCATATTAGAATGATTTCTGAAGGATCGTGTGACACTGAAGATGCTGAAAATTAAGTTTTGCCATTACAGGAATAAATTACAGTTTAAAATATATTAAAATAGAAAACAGATATTTTAAATTGTAATACTTCACAATGTTACTTTTAAAAAAAAAATGTTTTACTGTATTTTGATCAAATAAAAGCAGCCTTGATGAGCAGAGTCTTTTTAAATTATTCCTAGCAGTGTATGTGTTCATGAGCTGCTTCGACTGTGATTGTCTTTCGCTCACATATCTTGTGTAAGAGTGTGTATATATTGTGTAGCAGCAGCAACAGCCTTTAGTCAGGAAAAGACAGTGTTGAGCAATCAGTCTGTCTCCTCCACTCACATCCTGCCCATCTCTCTCTTTCTTTTTTTTTTATTATCATTTCTTTCTTTCAGACCTTTTCTCTGATTACAGTACACTGTTAGACTAGTCCTGCAGACTGAAAACTAAAGTAAAATGACCACACCTTTAATAAATTTCTTATTTTACTGAATAGAATATTTTACAGAATTTTGTACTTCTATTGAAATCCACAGTTAATCAGTTCATAGACATTATATGATAGATAGATAGATAGATAGATAGATAGACAGACAAACAGATAGACAGACAGACAGACAGACAGACAGACAGACAGACAGATAGATAGATAGATAGATAGATATAGTTGTATTCATAGATATACATTTATTCATAGATTTTGCGGATTTGCTGACTAACCTGTGGAGGAACGACAGGTAAAAGTGTCCCCATCCCTGAATCTACGGCTGGATGGAAGGACTCCACGTCTCCGTAGCGGTATGTGCTGGGATGCAGCTCAGTGAAATGGTTTCCTTGAGGCGGCTCAAATTCACTGTGATGGCCATGAATGCCTGTGTAGTCCCATCCACTTTCTTGCATGACCAACATCAAGGGAGAATAAACTGAGTTTGAAGTTGAATTGAAAATTTGTTTTTGGGCAAATTGTGAGCTTAAGATGTTCAGTCTGTTTCTTTTGATTCTTTTTATGCTGTTAAATTACATTAATTAATGAATTAATTAATTATAGTATCAGTATGCATCAGTATCAGAATCATCACACAATGCATTGACAACAAGAATAAATATTTATATATGTGATATATGTGATTATATATGTTATACAAACAACACACACACACACACACACACACATATATATATATATATTTAACTTACCAGGATGAGTCTGAGGGTCAGTACTGAGATACGGGTAGAAGTCATATATTGGCCGAGTGTCTGGATCATACGGAATTAATTCTTCTGACAACTGAAAATAAATAAATTAATAAATTAATTAATACATTTTCAGATTCCCCATTTTTGCTTTTTACCTATTTATATATAAAGCGTAGCTATATTGTACTTATACAAAACTTACTAAACATGCCGTAAAATAATTATACTTCTGAAATAGCTTTTCAGTTTTGCCTTGAAAAGTTTAACATGTTTGAAACAGAATGCACTCTCTCATATACTTACAGGTGAAATAACACAGCCATCCATTCTGTAATGCAACATGAAGCCCTTCACTCATATATCTTCTTCTGTGGTGTCTATCTCACAGTTTCCCACCTGTTTACAGAATATTGCATAACGTGGAAATTACTTCACAAGAGCGCTGTACTTTGGTATCGCTTTTCAAATGGGCAAATCTTGTTTTCAAACCCTTCTGCCTTCAGCTTCACTGTCCTGAGGTGAGAAAGACTAAATTTCCTGTATTGCCCATAAGTGATAAGGCTGACTTCACTGAAGCATCTGGCCTCTGATAGGTCAAATGTTCGTGATTTTTCATTTATGACACTGTTAAGCGATTTCGGCCAATCATGATCCAGTTGATGGGTTGGCTTTATGTGTATCTCCACCATATCTTTTCAGAATAATTAATTAGTAAAGTTGACAGATGATGCATTTGACCAATTTCAGAAAGATTATTTAATAAATTGTGTGCACACTCCAGGCCTACCTAGATAAAAGTACATAAAACTTTATGTTCTTAAATAGATTTTTTTTTACTATTGTCATTGCTTCAGTGGTTTGTAAGATCATATTCATGGATTCTATAGAACAGTTTATGTACCGTTGTTCTAATGTGTACTACAGTACATTCATATTTGTAATAGTATGAGCAAAGCTAAAGAAAAACACTGTAATTTTTTGTAACTGTGTTTTTGAGTAAATAGGCTTTGTGTTGTGGCCTTGAGTCAGTCAATCAGAGGGAAATTTTTACATGTGCTATTGTCTGAGAATCATAAACTTCAGCGTTCACCCAAAGTGAAGTTCTGAGAGAGCTTTGTTCCCTTTTTAATCAAAGCATCACACTGTTATCGCAGGTTTTGAGGAAGCAACTACTATTGCAGCATAGACACATGCATTATTCTGTGTTTGCCTTGGACATTCATATGCAAAACTCGATTGACATTGTTTTAAAAGTTGAACAAATATCTATAAATAGAAAAATATCGATACACTTTACTTTTTTTTCAGGATTGTAAATAAAACAAATACTATTGAAGTACATTCTGCAAGAAAATACTATTTCAGTCATTCTACTTCAATATGTCGTGCTTACTTCAATGTGTTACTTGTCATTTCTTTGTTATTATTTGTAAAAGTTAGTCATCTATTTTGAATAGAATACTTTAAATGCATGAAAGCCTTTTTGAAATTTTCACATTCACTTCCCCAAAATGTGAATGTGAAAGACTTTTATGGACACTTGTGTAATGTCATGTCTTTTCTGGAGTTGAGTACACTGCAAGTCTTTTATTTTTGGATTAAAAAATCCCTTAATGGAGATTCAAGCACTATAATAAATTAGCTCGGAAGAATAAAGCAGATGTTTTAATGTTTGTCCTCTTGAATGGTTGATTCTGATTTCAAACTGAGTTATATATAATGGTGTTTTGATAGGACTGTTTTTAACTAGCTGACCAGTGCATTGTGACTCCTGAGCGGGAACCCGAGGGTTTTGAGAGTCTGTGTGTTCTCATGTTTTCCCAATAGTGCATTGCAGGGTATTTTCAGGCACCACAGGAAGTCCGTTACATCTGCACACACACGCTCTCTCTCTCTCTCTCTCTCTCTCTCACACACACAC